GTAATTATTTGTTTAATTCGCATCATTTTGTTCAGTGCTTCAAATAAAGAACACTTTGCGTCAATCGAGGCACATTGCGAAATCAGTGCGCCAAAATCAAGAACATAGGAACATTGTTGATAAATCTATGTCTACGACATGGTCTTAATCTTTTCCTGAAAAGCCAAACTCATTAAATAAATATTATTTTATATTATACCCGCTACGCATATAACAATATATTCAACAATCGATCATTATGGATTGAATTTATAACATTTTTATAGTGCGTCTAATAAGGAACATTTTGCGTCAATGTGGAAAATTAGTGCGTCATTATTAGGCACACGACGAACGATATCAAAAGTATTTATTTCCCAAAAATTTTTAACAAGTTCGTCAAGTTTTATATTTTTCTCCTATTCTTAGATGTTACAAATAGTGGCAGGCAAAATATCAAATAAATTCATCGCGTGTTGATTTTTTAAATCAACATGGAATTTGATATTTCCTCAACTGCGTCAAATATGGTGCCTTCACGGTACGTGGAAATCAGGTCCTATTTACCTGACTAATCACGTAGATAATCGATGCTGAATTTTGCTCGGCTACGTGCAATTCCGGTAAAAGTTACGTGAAAAATAGAGTGAACGAAAACTACCTCTGTTTTCACGTAAATCGGGCGTGAAGATTTTTCAGAGTGTAGGGATAAAATCAGTTTTAGAGTAATATTTGAAATGGGCCTATGTCCAAAACGTAAACAAACCAGCAAATGAATATTAAATTTTTCCGCCACTATCCAATTCATATTTAAGAAAACTGAAGCATTTTAGGCATTTATATTGTTCACAATAACAATAGTAACTGTATCTCAGTATACAACATCCAAAATATGCGAAAAGCTTTCAAAAATATATGAAAATCGATAAGAATTTAATTTCATAAATTAATAAGCCTTTTTGTGAATCTTTCAATTGATATGCCCGTTTTTGTTAAGCCGTTGTACTTGTCATCAGAAATGGTACGCCCATTGCCAAGCCTTTTCGCAACGTCAAATAAATTCAAAACCAATCATCGACCCTGCCTCAAACAGTAGGGCCTAGCTTTGGTTTGAAATTTTTCAATCATCGGCCCTTCTACGTCACTAGGCTTATCAATGAAATTAAATAAATAAATGCGTGCGGGCCTATTAATGAATCGAAAAATTTCGCGAAACTTTCCTACACAATTAGTAGCTATCAAGCGGTGCCAAAGAATGGTATCAAAACCCGATTTGTTTACGTTTTGGACATAGGCCCATTTCAAATGTTACTCGAGAAAAAAATGTGATTCTGGACTTTGGAAATATCCAATTTTATGAAAATATAATAGGAGTTTTGAGGAAAATATAAAAGGGAAATAATTCTCTTGGTAACATCTCACCAATGAATTGGAGAGATCAACTCTAAGGCAGTTGTTGTTCTAAGAAGAACACTAAGAGTCTTGATAAGAACTTGTAGAAATAATTTCAAGGAACAATTAACTTCCAGGTGAATTTCTATGAGTTTTCTGAGTATAATCTTAGGTAGCTCTGAGGATAATTTCATGGTGGCTTTGAGAAAGAGTCAAGGTTCAATTTAAATGAGTATTCCCAAAAAGTTCTGAAAAGATTCAATGGAAATTCCGAGCAGTACTCTAAGGCTATTGAATTTACAGGATAGTTTTATAATAATTCTGCCCGGTAACGTGAGTAGATCACCTATTCGTGGTACGTTACGGGATGTAAGATCTACCACCGATTCTTAGTCCTGACTACTTCAAACTAGGGAAACAAGATTTATCAAAGGAACACATCTTAGCCCTTTTTACTTTTTATGCCTTGTTGATAGTGTCAAGACTCGGCTTGTCCACCGAGGATGATCTTGAAACAAGGAAAAAATGGGATAGTTAGTCTTCATCTATGTGATTCCTAATCTTCTATTCGTTATTCCCTAGTTTGAAGTTGTTAAGACTAGGGTTCTGATGCATGGTCATTATCGGTGTCATTGCTTAATTTTGTTGCTAAATTTGACTGACAAAGCGGCGCACTTTAGGAGGGGGCTCTCACTCTTCGAATGATATAAATAGCGGGACCTTTCAATTAGAATCGATTCCTTGCGATAAAAGTAAGAATGACAACTGTATCAAACCCGAATACTTCATCATTTCTCAATAGTGATGGAGTAATACGACATGCACTAAACTAAGGACACGGGATATACTACAATAGATCAAATCACTGGTCGCAGTGGAACAGAGGAAAAAAATAATTCTGTGTCAAATTCCAAAGAAATTCTGAGGACAATTCTTTGTGGTTTGTTAAGGGTTAGTTCCGAAAAGAATGCCGATAAATCGAATGTTCCGAGAAGCATTTGTAGAGAATTCGAAGTGATTTTTTTTTTAAATATCTCGTAGCAGAGTTCCTAGATAATTTTGAACAGAATTTAAATCTTTTAATGGGGTGAATTACACTAGAATTCTAAGGAAAGGTCATGTGAATTCTAATTAGAATTACAGCAGAAAACTTCAGCGAATTCTGGGTCTCTGAATCTTAAGGTGAATTTAGAGAAATCATAAAAGCAGTGCTGCGTCATCTGAGGAGCTTCTTTACTTCTTCTTTTTATTCATCGCATTTCAAACTTATTGCTTATCGCATATTAGCTTATTGCGTGCTCTCAACTTGGTGTTCTAAATGCACTTCCACAGTTATTAATTGAGCGCTTTCGATGCCTGTACCATTTTGCATTAGTATAATTGTGTGGTAAGAACCCAGCCACCTCCAGCAAAGTCTTGCTTGTAGCTGCGCCGCATACCGACTGAGCTAAGGGAGGTCCCAAGTTGCTTTACTGATGAATAATTATTCATTGATTAGTTCAATTCCAATACTTATGATTGAAGAACAATAGGGGTAAGAGGGGCATAGTGAACAGGTGGGGCATAGCGAGAATCCCGTGCACCAGCTTGGACTACCGGCCGTTCGGAACAAATTGGTTGGTGGTAGGATCAATATCATAATGATATTGAACCTACTACCAGTTGATTTGTTTCATGCAGCTGGAGATCCAGAGCCAAACTGCGGGATGCTCACTATGCCCCTCCTCCCCTCATCGTTTTCGTTCGAACCGTATTGTCCATACAATTTTTTTTTGTTTTAAGATACGGTTCGATCGAAAGCAAGACTTTGGGTGAATGATTCAATTATGTCAGGCAAATGATTAAGATTAATGATTATTCTAAAAACAATCATGATTAGTGATTATGATTAATCATTAATCTAAATTATGCTTCATGATAAATTTAATGATTGATCACTAACGCTCTGGTTGATACCTGGATCAGGATCGATGATATTCGTTCACCAAAAACCAAAACCTCTTGCGATCCGCCATACTCGATTTGTTTAGAAGGCAACAATGACATCTTCGTCACACAGCTTTTTAGAAGCTCTACAGTAACCCCATTTACTGGTGAAGAGGCTGGTTTTATACAGCAACTGATGAAGGCAATAGAAGTTGAGCAAAGACGAAGCTTCAATGCTTCAATGCCTGGAGAAATCTTAGGATAATATTAAAGGAATTCTATGCAGGATTCCGACGAAATTCTTAGGAGAATTTAAAGGGACTTCCGAACAGAATTAAAAAGGGTAAATTCAAAACACAAATTTACTCAGTCTATTGTGACCTCTGAGTAATCATGATTTTAGCAAGTGATTTAAAAGGAACTAATTTTTTCCTCAAAATAAATCGTTAGTTAGTCGCATTTTTAGAACATTTTTTTTTTAAATTGAGCGGAATCAGTTCTTTAAGAATCACTTAGTTATTCATTGGACCTTATTTAATTTGTTGAAGCCATCACTGAGGCTACACATTGAGCCTATTGATTGTTGACAAATGAATAAAGCGAATCGTAGAGCACACTTAATATACAATAGAAATACGTCATACACAAATCCCTTCCTAAAAAATGTGTGTGAGTAAAAACATATTACGAAAACGATACCTGAATGATTATCTTTCAATACAACCTTTACAAGATTCGGCAGCGAGCTACGTTTCCTTCGAATCTGAACTTGTCTCGGAGCAATCAGCCATCTTCTTCTATCTTCTTCAGAATCTTCCCGGTAGAACTTAAAATTAAGGCTTTCATGCCTTTCATTTGTGACCACTACGACGCCGTTCGAAGATCTTCCGAGACCTTTTCAACATCCCCAATTTTCCCATTCCTGTCGGGAATCATGCGAAGAGCTCGATGTTGGTATGGATGGGCTCTCTCGATGTTGGTGCGGATCATCATCTTCCATTCGTCTTCTTCGATCCTTTCTTCTCATCTTCCCCTTCTTCACATGACTTCTTGTGCATCTTCTGGTCTTCTCTCTTCTCAATCATCTTCCTTATGTTGTTTTCCATGGAATCTTCCTGTGATTCTTCTATCTTCGTGCTTAGATTCTTCTTGTGCTACTCCTGCGCGTACGATCTTCTTCATCTTCTCTTGGCAGCTCCAGTAAATCTTCTGTGGAATAATTCCAGGAAAGATACGCAGCTTCTGACACCTGCTATGCTTCTGAAATGGCTATCTTTTTTTTTTCAACCCACACAACTTAAATGCAATCATTTATCTTCCTTTAACTCTTCGCATAAAATTTCATCTTCTTATTATTACTAATAAAGAAAAAACGATTCAATTTAAGAAAACTTTTCTTCAAGATTATCGGCACCACTAGTGAACAGTAACAATACCAATTCAAGGCACACGAAGCAACCAAATTCCTTCTCAAAGAAAAACAAAAGCTCATGTCCGGGAGAGCCTTTAAAGAAATGCTACTTTTCTTCACACATTTCTTCCTTAAATCTCCCGGAGTCGGTGGACATTTACTGTAACCAGAACACGTTAGGGCAGTACTTTTCCGATTTCTTCGACAAAGCTACCAGCACGCATTTCAACGAGCCTAATTCTGGTGATTTTCGTTCTCTACACTCTACACTCTATCCCGGATCAAAGCCTACCTTCGCATCGATCACTACGGTTGCCTTCTTCAGAGGACCAAACTTGGTAAATATATCGTACAGCTCGGCTTCGGTGGTATAAATGCTCAAATTGAATACGGCAAGGACGGCCTTGCTTTCGTCGTATTCCACACTTTGCTGAACTTCGTGGGCATGCGGTTGCCGGGACGTTCGACGGCCGTAACTTCCGCCGGCACTGCTTCCTCCGTACTCCGACCCACCACCGTAGGAGGCGCTGTATCTACAATTGCATTCGAATCAGAAATCTCCGGCCGCCAGCGATACTACGCCGTAACTTACCGATATCCATCGTCACGGTACTCGCGGCGATATTTTCGATCACGGCTGCGGGAACGGGAGCTTTGCTGGAAATGGTGGAACGCCAAGTGTTAAAACTGAAATCATTTTCACCTAATATTCATCTCCAACATACCTCGTAATATTGGCCTCTGGAGTAACTCATTTCGTAGCAATCAACAACAATAGTGATAATAATTTAATTTCCACAACAATGTTCACCTTTTCTTTGCAAAATATTCCCTAATTATATTGTTTTCACGCGAGGAAAATATTAACAAACTTCACCGATCCGCCACTAATCTTCGTTGTTTCGTTTCCTGTCGCGTAAGCAAGCACTCACTGTTTTGTCACGCACTCACACTACACACCAATCAAAGACCCACCACTCACACTTCAGTAAATGCCTAGAATGGAAATTTTCCACGGGAATAAAATTCGCTCGAATTCCACTATTTCCGGGGAAATTCCACTACTTTTCACTTTCAACTGGTTGATTTCACTTCGATGGTACGGTATGATTATTTTTTAGATGGAAAATGCTTCTGTTTCAAGTTTTCTGGCACAACAATTCTTCGGAGGAAAATGTGACCCATCAGGCAAGCAGCACTCACACCTTTTGGTTTTGAATAAAAGATCTCACTGTCGCTACAAGTGATGCCAAATTTTTCATCTGCATTGTAAACTTCACCAAGAGCTCCACAAATGCTTTTCGATTTTCAGCTTCAAAAATCTGTATAAATCCCAAAATCTATTCAAATCTGTATATTTTATATTGCGCATTTCACACCAAATTGGACTAATAAGCGCGTTTTCACTTATTGAAAAGTGTGATAAAATTGCAAGTTTACGCTAATCGTCTTGGTGTCTTCGGTGCACTTATTCCTTATGATGCAAGCAACTCGGCAAGCAATAAGTGCTCCGAAGACATCAAAACGATTTGACGGAAAAGTGCACTTTTATCACACTTTTTGCATTTTTGGGACAGTCCAGTTTCAGATGCAATCAGCAATACAAAAATCGGTAATACAGTTATCTGTATCTAAAATAATTATTGTCAATTGGGTCAAAAACCCTGCATCACGCAGAGAAATGGCTTTTAATTTCAAAAATAAATCACATTGAATTCAACAAAAAATATTGTAGACTCAGGGCCTATCTTGGGGCCTATGCAGATTTTTTCTTTGATTCAAAAATAAATTTGATTATAGTTTAGTTGTTTGTTGTTTTAAGAATCAACTCTCTGTGACCAAAAGTTGAGCACGTTATTTCGGGACCTTCTAGTCTTAGAGTTACCTCTATGGTGGAACTCAATATTAGCATAGAGGTAACTCTAAGACCAGAAGGTCCCGAAATAACGTGCTCAACTTTTTGGCTCAGCTCTGGTACTCTCTTCGGTCCCAAGCTAATCGATTCACCCCTCGAAACATAGGAAAAACCACTAACCCCTCATTTTATCTGTCAAACTTTCATAGCGAATCAAAACAACCATTGCGTAGTACTAGAATTTCGACTAAAATGGGGTCGTTAATCGTTTGCTTGGGACCAATAGGCTAGTCAAGTAGTGAGCCAATTTAAAATCGTTAGTTTCGTATTGATTGTTGATATTAGGCATTGAGTACTTTTTTCGTTCCGTGACGTTTTTAGAAATTTATCTCTCATCTGAGTAGTTTTTTTTTTACTCGCTCTCACTCTCTGAGTGAAGGCCGGTGCACAATGCATACGTTTTCGGGTTTTTTTTGACAGATAATGCATGGACTAACTTACTGTCAAAAAACCTGAAAACGTATCCATTGACGAGTGCACGGATGGATTTGAGTTCACTCACTCGACAAAAAGTGACACAACAGCGGGGCCCTGTTTACTAAAAATGAACATATATGTGTTCATTTTTAGTAAACAGGGCCCCGCTGTTGTGTCACTTTTTGTCGAGTGAGTGAACTCAAATCAATCCGTGCACTCGTCAATTAGGTTTTGCACCGTGGGGGTTAACCTCAATCTGATGACAGTTTAGTGGTACACACAAAAAATTATCGCTAATAAAATTAAAAAAACCATAGGTAGAATTAAAAGTTTGCATTGGTTCTTTTTGGTAGAAAGTCATTAGCATTCAAAACAAAAGTCAGACAACTTTCTAATCAAAAGTTGCCTGGTCACTGTTTTTAAAAGTTGAAACTTTCAAACTGTCAAAAGAAAAGCTCGACTGGGTTGAAATTAAAAGTGGATTTTTTAAATTAAAATCATGCTTTTGGGCTTGAAAGTTTGGTATGAATGAAATAAGAGGGGTAATTTTGCGTTTGAAATAATAAAAATTCAGTTAAAAAATATGCAATTTTAATATTATAACACATTATTTTCATTTTAAATTCTATAAAATATTAGTATAAGTTTTTTTTAATTCCTAACGTTTTGATTATAATTTAATTAATATATATTTATTGATATCCCAGTTACTCGTAATCTTTAGGGAAGTACTCCAGGTCCAAGAGAAGGTTTTATATACTACGATATTTTTCGCAGGTTTTATAGACTCCGATATTCCTTCGATGTACCTTTTCATATTTGCCAAGCTGAGCGCCGGATACTTCTAATAACATTCCTTTGTCAGTTCTTGCAATTCTCGTTCCGGAGGATACATCGGATCGGCTAGAGGAATGCTTTCCCGGTGAAACCACCGTCAATGGCATCCGTAGTGGCTTCTGTGGTGTCAACACCGAAGATGATGCAAAGTGCTTCGTACTTTCAAGAAACGAGTCAATATCTGCAACAAGATAAGACCACCTTTAAATAATTCACCTTTAAAAGCTAACCCCAACGTAACTTACCTATTATTCAACATTCCGAAATAAGCTTCCTACTCTTGGCCAAACCTGATTCCAACACTTCCATATGCTCACACTGCACTCCACTGAACATGCGAATTCATATGTATTTTAATATTTTAAACTACATTTAAGTAAATCAAACTGGTAGATTTTTTCACCGGTTTTTTTTTTTTGTTTTTTTTTTCACTAGTGATGGCTGTGGTGCACGAAAAAACGAAACAACCCAACATTTAGTCAATGGTATTTTTGACAGTTTAACAATTTTCATTTTGAAAATATGCCTTTTTAAAATAACAAGTATAAAGTGAAAGACAAACTTTTAAAATAACAATAATGCTTTCATGTTAAATATTGTCGTAGTTGAAACAACCAAAGCTGTTACACTTTTAATTTGAAAATGCATTATTTTTGAAGGAACAATTTTTATTTTTTGTGTGTACTGTTTACGTGGACTTAGCCGATTTTTTTCTTGGGTGGATTTTCTCGATAATTTTTCAGACTGCAGTGAGATGTAAACCACATTTCTGCAATGTTCACGAGCAACATCCTTGCAATGCGCTGTTCCTCGACAATTTTCAAGTTAAAATTCGGAAATTTTAGAATTTGTTTTTTCGAAAAAACGACTAAGTGCTTGTAAACAGTACCACTGAACTGTCAAAAAGGTTCAGCCGATTAACACTGAGTTCATTCGTGACGTCACGCTTGCTACTAATCGTTACCTATGTAAAAATATCGATTCGTGTTGCCAGATCAAAATATCGATTTCTCTTGTCAGATCAAAATAACAATACACGGTATTGATATTTTTGGGATTTTTTTTTATCTGCAGAATTGGCGTTGACGGCACCGTCGAAAAATTTGCTCTTCCAGCAAATTTAGACAGTTTCTTATGGGAATTTTCGGTGGAGTGAAAGGATAGTACAAAGTCCGCCATGTTTCACGCACAGTCTGACGTTTGCTTATGGATTTTCTCATAGGAGTAAAGAGCTACAGAGTCGCCGTCAACGCCAATTGCTAGGTTTCGTATAAAAGTTACGCTAAATCTCAACTCTCCGTACCGACGCAAAGGTCGGTAAAAAGGGAGAGAATGCAAACTTAGTATAAAAATGGTTTATCCCTGCCATAGTATAAAATCGAAATATACTTTCAATGCATACATATGGTTTATTCCAGGGAATATATTTTCTGCTTCTTTTTTGTTTCATGTTGAATATTATTGTTTTCAAATCAAAATTAATGTTTTCTTAGGAAGGTACCTAAATATTTTTTTTTTAATATTTATTATTATGAAAAACACGTACAGTTTTGAAATTTTCTTTTGGCGAACTCGTACTAACGCAGTCTTACCAACAATCAATACGAAACTAACGATTTTAAATTGGCTCACCACTTTAGTAGCCTATTGGTCCCAAGCAAACGATTAACGTACCCTATTCTAGTTGAAATTCTATTACTATACTACCCACACGAATTGCCGGCGAAAAAGTGACGTCATTTGACATTGAGCGACTTGAAGACTGATCGTTCGCCCTTTGTCCGGGATGCGGACGAAAGGCGACTCGCCCCGCTAGAGTAATTTCATCCGCCGGGCTACCAAATGGCGCTCCGGGATGCGGACGAAGGGCGACTCGCCCCGCTAGAGTAATTTCATCCGCCGGGCTACCAAATGGCGCTCCGGGATGCGGACGAAGGGCGACTCGCCCCGCTAGAGTAATTTCATGCGCCGGGCTACCAAATGGCGGATGAAACTTAGCCATTTTTTTGCAATTTTTCTTTTGCGTCGGCTGACTAAGCGGTCAGCCATGTTTTCATTTCGTTCGTGGCAGGTGCGGGTCGCAAAATTGGCCTCAGATGGCCATCTTCCGGATTGGTCCGATGGTCCGACGATACATCTTGCCAGTTCATACTCAAGGTAAGTAAAATGCTTTAAATTAACAAAACAATCAAAACAATGTTGTTAATTTTTGTACCTCATTTTTTTTTTCAGCCGGCTGCTCATAAGATTATCTGGTCCGCAAAATTGGCCTCCGATGGCCATCTTTGGGGTCGAATAGTCTTCCGACGGGACCACCGAAGGGAAGAGCAATCTTTCTACTTCATACTCAAGGTAAGTAAATTGCTTTTAAATGAAATAAAAACCAAAACAATGTTAATTTTTGTAAATATTTTTTTTCAGCCGGCTGCTTGCTCCGATTATCCGGGCTGCAAAATTGGTCTCCGATGGCCATCTTCGGGATCGAATGGTCTTTCGACAGGACCAACGAAAGGAAGAGACATCTTTCTGCTTCATACTCAAGGTAAGTAAATTGCTTTTTAAATGAAATAAAAACCAAAACAATGATAATTTTTGTAAATAATTTTTTTCAGCCGGCTGCTTGCTCCGATTATCCGGGCTGCGAAATTGGTCTCCAGTGACCATCTACGGGATTGAATGGTCTTCCGACGGGACCAACAAAGGGAACAGACATCTTTCCAGTTCATACTCAAGGTAAGTAAATTGCTTTTAAATAAAAAATTTAAAGTCCTCTCCAGTGGATCAATTTTGAAGTAATTAGTTCCCAAAATTGAGCCGCTGGAGGAATCCGCTGATGCAACGCATGCCGATGCCGGATCCCGATGTCTATGTTTAAGGTAAAGAAAGGTTTTATTAAAATTAAGTAAAAGTTAAAGTTATTTTTAAGTTAAATTAAATTAAGTATGCAAAAACTAAATTTAAGTTAAAGTTAAGTAAAAGTTCGGCTTGAGTTGAAATTTAGTTAAAGTTTAGTTAAAGTTAAAGTTAATTTAAAGTTCATTTAAGTTATGTTAACGTTATGTTAAACCCGAATAGAAATTTACATTAGCCCAACGTTTGATTTTGATGTCTACATCAGCATCGAAATCAAATGTATGCCTGATGTCAAACATTAGAAAACATTATGATTTAGTTGTATTTAAGCAACGTAACATGGTGTATACATCAGAAATTTTGGAACAAAATTTTGCCATTCTAATGTCGGTCTGACGTCAAAAATTTCAATCTCTTGACATTAGAACCAAACGTTTTAAGGATGTTTTCTGATGTACATTACGTTAGAACTAAACGTTGTTCGGATGTTTTTATATGTAAACGTTTTCTGATGTTTTCTAATGTAGATGTTTCCCGATGTTAGAACCAAACGTTTTCGGATGTTCTCGGATGTAAAAAACGTTAGAACTAAACGTTGTTTAAATGTTTTTATATGTAAATGTTTTCTGATGTTTTTTAATGTAGAAGTTTCCTGATGTTAGAACCAAACGTTTTTGGATGTTTTCGGATGTAAAAAACGTTAGAACTAAACGTTGTTCGGATGTTTTTATATGTAAATGTATTCTAATGTTTTCTTATGTAGATGTTTCCCGATGCTAGAACCAAACGTTTTTTGGATGTTTTCGGATGTACACAACGTTAGAACTAAACGTTGTTCGGATGTTTTCAATTGTACTTCCTGTTTGTTGTTCTCTGATGTTTTCAGATGTACAAAACGTTTAAAGTAAACGTTGTTTGAATGTTTTAAAATGTAGATGTTTACTTATGTTTTAAGAAGTACAAACACTAGAATCTTACTTTTCAAATGCTTTCAATTATATTTACAACACATTAGAATTAGTAACATAATCGTGTAAACACTACACACCATTGTTGTTAGATAACATCATAAAAATGCGTACATAACTGTCAATGCTGAAGCTCCCGTTTCCCACCAGTCAGTTAACTGACCTTAGCTAACCTAATGTCATTGCGGCAACTCTCTATGCGGCAGGGGAACTATGCCATTAGCGCGCTAAGAGTTATTAGACCACTGACATAGGCGCCAATTTGTAGGTGACGAGGCACTTGGTGACATTACAGCGAGCTTGACGATTGTTGCAGCATTTTTTAATCAAACTAACAGTTAAGGTGTGTAGTGTTTACAAGATCATGTTTCTAGCACTAATGCTTTGTACAATTGAAAGCATTGGAAAAGTTAATTCTCATGTTTTGCACAATCAGAAAACATAAAATTGTACAAAAAAAATCATCCATTCTGGTAGACTATCTCTTAAATGCATACAGAATAGTCATTGCGTAAGCTCCCGTTTCCCACCAGTCAGTTAACTGACCTTAGCTAACCTAATGTCATTGTGGCAACTCTCTATGCGGCAGGGGAACTATGCCATTAGCGCGCTAAGAGTTATTAGACCACTGACTTAGGCGCCAATTTGTAGGTGACGAGGCACTAGGTGACGTTACAGCGAGCTTGACGATTGTTGTATCATTTTTGAACGAACTACCAGAAAAAGATGCCTAGTGTTTACATAATCAAGTTTCCAAATCTACAGGGCCACCCACATTAGATCCGGATCTGGCGCGATGCAGCAAAGTGACAGCTAAATATATTGTCTAACTATAAAATTTACGACAACGCAACGCAAGCAGATCTAATGTGGGTTACCCTTAAGGCCTGTGGAAGAGTGAAAACTGGTGGCCGCGTGAAAGTTTAGGGAAATTCCCCAATAATTAGCAAAATTTAGCAAAACACAAATGCTCCGTCCATGTGTCGAACCACAAACGAAACTCGTCAGTTGGTGGTGATTGATGACTTCCTTGGTTGCTTTGGTGGTGTCATGCCTTCCTTCGAAAAGAAGCACAGCCGTGGATCCTGGCCCTTGAGTTGATGAGTCCAGGTCTAGGTGTTCAATTGCCTCCCTGGCGTAAGTGGTTGCCACTCGGTTGCAGAACATAGAACGATAGAAAATAAACAAGAAAACAAAGCCAAATTGAAGATTAATCCAGGGATTTTGCAGTAAATATTTAGATGAGCTAAGACTAGAGAATGCTAGAGAAACTGTGAAAGACTATCAAAGCAAACTATGCACCTAGATCCAAATCTTTTCAGAAAACTTATCAATACGCATAGTTTGAACCGATGTATAAACATCATGCAGACATTGTTGTCTTTGAAATGTCTACGAGCCAGGTAAAGGGCCGAACCCAATGACACCAGGACAGCGGCATAGCGGTATAGCGGTAAATGTACATTTTAAGGTTAGTTAGAAGAACTACTAGAACTTCAGGGTAGTTCTATAAACATCAGAAAAATACCAGATTTAATTTAATTTAAGTTAATAATTATTCTGAAGACCTACAACTGAACAGAAATTCAAACGATGTCCTTTTGATATTCTTTGAATAGTTTAAATTGATCAGGTATTATTCTGAGAACCTACAACTGATCAATAAATCAATTGAAACTTTTCGGATATTACTACAAGAGATCAAAATAAGCAGGAATTGTTTTGAAGACCTACAACTGATCAGAAATTCAAATAAAGTAATTTAGAAAATATTCGAAGTGGTCAGGTTGATAAGGATTAGAAATTAAAATCTTGAGATATTTTTCGAAGAGGTCAAGTTGATCAGGAATTATTCTGAGGACCAACATCTGATAAAAAATCGAATTGAAGTCGTTTGAAAATTTCTTCAGAACGTAGAATAATCGGAAATTGTAATGAAGATCTTACTACACCGAAGGTCGTAGATCTTCAGAGAAACTAGCAGAACTTTAGGGAAATTAAAAAAAAAACTTCAGAAAAGTTTTAAAAAACTGAAATCTTTAGAGAAATCAAAAGAAAATCAGGGAAGTTCGTAGATCTTCTGAGTAATTTACAGCACTACAGTAATGTTTGTCGTCGTTTCGAGAAATAATCACTACTTTATGGATGTTCACAGATCTTCAGGGAAGTTTGAAGATCTTCAGGGAAGTTTGAAGATCTTCAGAGAAATTAACAGAACTACAGTGATGTTCGTAAATTTAAAGATAATTTTTTAGTTCCTAAGGGAAATTTATAGAATAGAATTTCAGAGAAGTTCGCAGAACTTTAGATAAACTCACAGAACTTCAGGGAAGATCACATAAATTTAAAGATCCTCGTACATCTAAGAGTTATTTTCAGTACTTCAGGGCAGTTCACAGAGCTTTAGGCAAATTGGCAGAACGTCAGGGAAAAATACTGAATTTCAGGGAAGTTTGTTGATCCTCAGAGAAATTTGCAGAACTTAAAGGAGGTCTTCAGATAAATTTTTATTGCTTCAGAAAAAATTGCAGAAATTCAGGAAAGTTTTGTAGACTTTTAGAGAAATTTTTAATGCTTCAGGGTAGTTCGAAGATCTTCAGAGAAATTCACAGACCTTCTGGGAGTACACAGAACTTCAGGGAAGTTCGAAGATCGTCTAAGTAATTTGCAGATTTTTAGGAAAATTTAACATAACTTTTACTTAACTTTAACTAAACTTTAACATAACCTTAACTTAATTTTAACTGAAATTTATTATAATTTAAATTTTAACATAACTTTAACCTAACATCAACTTACCATATCTTTAACTTCACTTTAGCTTTAACATAAATTTAACTAAAGTTTAACATAACCTTAACGTAATTTTAACTTAAATTTAACATAACTTTAATCTAACATTAACTGAACTTTAACTTAACTTAAGCATTAACATAACTCTAAATTAATTTTAACATAACTTTAACTTAATTTTAACTTAGCTTTCACATAACTTTACCTTGAACATTACTTCAACTTTAACTTAACTTGAGCATAACATAACATAACTTTAACTTATCTGTAACATAACTTTAAGATAACGTTAACGTTAACTTAACTTAACTTAGCATTAACTTTAACTTAACTTTAACTTAGCGTTAACTTAACTTTAACTTATCTTTAACTTAATCTTAACTTAACTTTAATTTAACTTTATCATAACTTAACCTTAACTTTAACTCATCTTTAACTTAACTTTAACTTCTCTTTAACTAAACTTAACCTTTTTTTTTACTTAACTTTAACATAACATTAATTTAATTTTAACTTAACTTTAACATAACTTTAACCTAACGTTAACTTAACTTTAAATTAACTTTAGCATTAATATAACTCTCACATAATTTTGACATAACTTTAACTTAATTTTAACTTAGCTTTCGCATAGCTTAACCTTGAACATTACTTTAATTTTAAAATCATTTTAATTTTAACTTCACTCTAACGTAATTTTAACTTTACTTTAACTTAACTTTAACAAACTTTAACTTATTTTTAACTTTAACATAACTTTAACCAAATTTTAACTTAACCTGAACACAACCTTAACTAAATTTTAACTTAAATTTAACATAACTTTAATTTAACTTTAATGTAATATTAACTTAACACATCTTTAACTTGACTTTAACTTTATAATAACTTTAACTTAACTTTAACATAACTTTAACTTAACTTGAACTAAACTTTAACATAACCTTAAATTAATTTTAACTTAAATTTAACAGAACTTTAACCTAACATTAACTTGACTTTAATTAACTTTAAATTTTATCTTAAATTTAAAATAAGTTTACCATTAACATAACTTGAACTTAACTATAACCTAACATGAACTAAACAGATCTTTAACTTAACTTAAACTTTATAATAACTTTAACTTATCATTAACATAACTTTAACTTAACTTGAACTAAAGTTTAACAAAACCTTAAATTAATTTTGACTTAAATTTAACATAACTTTAACCTAACATTAACTGAACTATAACTTAACTTTAAATTTAATCTTAAATTTAAAATAACTTTAACATTAACATAACTTGAACTTAACCTAACATAAACTTAACATATCTCTAACTTAACTTTAATTAAACTTTAACATAACCTTTACGTAATTTTAACTTAAATTCAACATATCTTTATCCTAACATTAACTGAACTTTAACTTAACTTAAGCATAAACATAACTCTAATTTAATTTTGACATAACTTTAACTTAATTTTAACTTAGCTTTCACCTAACTTTACCTTGAACATTACGTTAACTTCAAAATTATTTTAACTTTAACTTTAACTTAAACTTAACTTTAAGTTAACTTATACTTAACATAACATAACATAACGTTAACTTAACTTTAACGTAACTTTAACTTAACGTTAATTTAACTTCAACTTAACTTTAACTTACCATCACAGAACTTTAACTTTAGTTTAACATAACTTTAACTTTAAAATAACTTAAACTTAACTTTAACAAAAAATTAACTTTAACTTTACTTTAACATAATATTAGCAAAACTTTAACTTAAATTTAATCAAATATAACATAAATTTAATTTATTTTTTGCTTAACTTTACCTTACCTATAACATCCCTAATAAACGGGTACCATACACTAACAATTTCATAGATGGTACGACCATACCACATAAAGTTGAGATGATATCCCGAATTGGTGGTTAGGCTCCTCTAATGGTTATTGTTTATGCGGGATAACTTTAAATAAAGTTTAACATAACATTAACTAAGCTTTAACATAACTTTAACTTTAAAATTACTTTAACTTAACTTTGACACAACTTTAACATAACTTTAACTTATCTTTAACATTAATTTAACTTAACTTTACTATAAAATAACTTGAACTTAACTTTAAATTTAAAATAACTAAAACTTAACTTTAACTTTAAAATAACTTTAACTTAACCTAAACTTTACTTGAACCTCTAGAACTAGAATACTCTAGTTTGAATAAACCTTAACTTAACATAATTGAACTAAACACGAACTTAAATTGTGCTCAACTTTAACTCAATTTTAACTTAACTTGAACGTTACTTTAATTTTAAATTAATTATAACTTAACATTATCATAACTTTAAATTTAACATAACTTTAACCTAACTTTAACTTAACTTTAACTAAACTGCAACATAACCTTAACTTAATCTTTACTTAACTTGAAATTTTAACTTAAATTTAACATAAATTTAACTTAACTTTAACCTAACATATACTTAACATATCTTTAACTTAACTTTAGCTCTAACTAAACTTTAACATAACCTCAACGTAATTTTAACTTAAATTTAACATAACTTTAACCTAACATTAACAGAAGCTTAACTTAACTTAAGCATAAACATAACTCTAACTTAATTTTAACATAACTTAATTTTAACTTCGCATTCACATAGCTTAAACTTAACATTAACTTTAACATAACATAACTTTAAATTAACTTTAACTTATCTTTAAGATAACTTTAACATAACGTTAACATAACTTAACTTTAACTTAACTTTAACTTAACTTGAACATAACTTTAACTTTAACACAACTTTAATTTTAAATTAATGATAACTTAACATTATCATAACTTTAACTTAACTTTAACATAAATTTAATTTAAATTAAACGTTAACATAACTTATACCTAAATTTGAATAAACTTCTACTTAACATAATTTTAACTTACCGTTAACTTAACATTAACTTAAATTTTACTTAACTTTAACTTAACGTTAACTTAACTTCAACATAACTTTAACTTAACTTTATCTTACACATAACTTTAACTTTACTTTATCTTAACTTAAACATAACTTTAACTTAACTTAAACATAACCTTAACTTAACTCTAACTTACCTTTAACGTAACTTTAACTAAATTTTAACTTTTACTTTAACATAAGTTTATCTTACCATCAACATAACTTTTATTTTAACATAATTTTAACTTAAATTTAGTTGTTACATACTTAATTTAACTTAACTTTAAATTTTACCTAACTATAATAAAACTTTAACTTAAACATAAACATCGGGATCCGGCATCGGAATGCGTTGCATCAGTAAGGATGCTTAACTCAGCCGGATTCCTCCTGCGGATCAATTTTGGAAAATAGTTACATCAAAATTGATCCGTTGGAGGAATCCGGATGAGTTAATCATCCTTGTTGATGCTTTGCATCAGTCAATTAAATCCGCCGGATTCCTCCAGCGGATCAATTTTTGGAAAAAAAATACATCAAAATTGATCCGCTGGAGGAATCATGATGAGTTAAACATCCTTACAATAAGGATGCTTAACTCAGCCAGATTCCTCCAGCGGATCAATTTAAAAAAATAATTACACTTAATAACAAATTGTTCAATACTTACCTCTATTCCCGAACACCTCCGGAATTATTGGAAGCAGCCGGCTGAAAAAAAAAACAATTACAAAATAATCAAAATTTTGGATCTGTTTGTTAGAATTTGTAATTATTTTTCAAAATTGATCCGCTGGAGGAATCCGGATGAGTTAAACATCCTTGTTGATGCGTTGCATCAGCAAGGATGCTTAACTCAGCCGGATTCCTCCAGCGGATCAATTTTGAAAAATAGTAACATCAAAATTGATCCGTTGGAGGAATCCGGATGAGTTAATCATCCTTGTTGATGCTTTGCATCAGTCAATGAAATCCGTCGGATTCCTCCAGCGGATCAATTTTTGGAAAAAAAAGACATCAAAATTGATCCGCTGGAGGAATCCGGATGAGTTAAACATCCTTATTGATGCGTTGCATCAGTAAGGATGCTTAACTAAGTCAGATTCCTCCAGCGGATCAATTTTTAAAAATAATTACACTTAATAACAAACTGTTTAACACCTACCTCTATTCAATTTCCGTACCCGTCCCTTAATCCGGAATTATTGGAAGCAGCCGGCTGAAAAAAAAAATACAAATTAATCAAAATTTTGGATGTTTGTTAGAATTTTGTAATTATTTTTCAAAATTGATCCACTGGAGGAATCCTGATGAGTTAAACATCCTTACAATAAGGATGCTTAACTCAGTCAGATTCATCCAGCGGATCAATTAAAAAAAATTACACTTAATAACAAACTGTTCAATACTTACCTCAGCTTACCTCTATTCAATTTCCGAACACCTCCGGAATTATTGGAAGCAGCCGGCTGAAAAAAAAAAACAATTACAAAATAATCAAAATTTTGGAAACAGATCCAATTATTAGAATTTGTAATTATTTTTCAAAATTGATCCGCTGGAGGAATCCGGATGAGTTAAACATCCTTGTTGATGCGTTGCATCAGCAAGGATGCTTATCTCAACCGGATCAATTTTTGAAAATAATTACATCAAAATTGACCCGCTTGAGAAATCCGGATGAGATAACTAATGCAACGCATCAATTTTTTAAATTACAAATAATAACACTAAATATAACAAATAGGTATTTGAATACTTACTGTTAAAGTTGCTAATTTCCTTCGCGGCTCGGGTGAAGGAATTTGCGGTGCGCTCCGTGCACTCAGCCATCTTGTCTAGTTTGTTTATAAACAAACCAGACAAGATGGCTGAGCGCACGACAAAAAAAAATACACCAATTTAAAAACGTCAGTCTTTAAGTCGCCCAATGTCAAATGACGTCACTTTGTCGCCGGCAATTCGTGTGTAAAGCCCTACAGTAAAAGTATGGACGTCTGTCAAAAGTTGTTCCAATCGAACCGTCAAAATGCACCGCTTCCCTAATAAAAATTGTATGGTTAATTTGCTTAACGACGTGTTCTGGGTATCATCCAAACCATTTGTGGAATAGTTCAATGATTTGGGTTATCGTTCGTTTATGGTTATTTTTTTATTAGGGTTTGCTCGATTGGAACAGCTTTTTCAGTTTTGTGGTGTCAGTCGTCCATACTTTTACTGTAGGGCTTTATTCGTGTGGGGTGCTGTATTCGTACACGGTAAGAAAAAAGTACCCAACGGCCAGTTCACTTTTACCTACTTTTGACTAGTTTGTCTCCTTTTCTCCTTCTAATGTTGTCAAAAACGGAGGAGCAAAACCACCCAACAGGGGTAGTAACGTGTGGGAACCCAACGTTGAGTATAATAATATTTACCTACTGTTGGGTACAACTAACTTACTTTTGCGTTGAAAGCTAGTGGAAAATTCCATACGAATTGCACACAAGTAAATAAAAACTACTTTGACCCGCTTTACCTATTTTTGGGTTCCTGCACTATAGTGCCGAGATGAGTGAAAAGAACTTACTTTTGGGTACTTTTTTCTAACCGTGTACACGGATGCGGTATACACGCTAACTTGAAAGTACTCATTAATGAGTAAAAAAAAGACCCATTTTGAAGAAAAGTGGTTTAACTCATTGATGATTAAACAATTTTACCCATTAATGAGTATCTGTTACCCATTAATGATTAACAATTACTCATTAATGGGTAACAGATTCTCATTAATGGGTAAAAAATTTACTCATTTAATGAGTTAAGCCACTTTTCTTCAAAATGGGTCTTTTTCAACCATTAATGGGTACTTTCAAGTTAGCGTGTACAGCACACTATGGCCGACGTTATGTTTAACGTACAGAACAAGAGTAAAATCGGTTTTCAATTGAAACGATAATAATCAATTAAAACACTAATTAACTCTTGCACTGTAACGTCACCAGGGCATTGTTTTACATACAAATAAACATTGCCCACAGGGCATGCCAAAACTTCTTTCAGTGATTTGAGGCTATGTCAGTCGTGCAAGAGTTAATGGTGGTAAGCTCTACCTTGTAATCGCAATGTGCTATTTTATATGATTGCGTCGAGGATTGCGTCGAGGATCGCGCATTGGGCACATTTATGAGATTATGAATGCGGAAACACTAATAAAAGTACGGTTTTACGTTAAATTGTTGTTGTGTCTTCATCGCACATACCTATTCCTTGGTGAATGAAGAATAAGTGCGCAGAAGGCGTCAAGACGATACAACATCTAAGTGCACTTTTATTAGCGTTTCCACTCTTCTAAAGAGTTCAATTTTATTTGCAATTGATAATGTCACAAAACTATGCATACACTGAAACAAAGACCATAGTTATAAATACTATTTTGCAGAAAACACTTATTTTCAGTATAACTACGCTTAATACCGTTAAATCTACCATGATTTCAGTATAGTTGACTATAAATATAAACAAAGTTAATACCATTTTGTCAAAACTACTATGCTTACTCAAACGGCATAGTAGTTTTGATAGAAAAAATAGTAAAATTAAATGAATTTCGTTTCTGCACAAATCTATTGGTGGGAGTATTTAATTTAAACCATCAATATAGTAATTTTGCCAATAGATTTTGTTTCTGTGTAGGAGGCATCACTGCACTGCAAGCCACTTTTTATTGTTGTGTCATATGATATATTCTAATGTTTTATGCGTGCAACAATTTACATCGTGATGAAGTTTGATTCTAATGTAACGTTTGGTTCTGTTGTCATTTGATGTATTCTGATGTTTTATGCGTGCAACAAATTACATCGTGATGAAGTTTGATTCTAATGTAACGTTAGGTTCTGTTGTCATTGGATGTATTCTGATGTTTTATGCGTGCAACATATTACATCGTGATGAAGTTTGATTCTAATGTAACGTTAGGTTCTGTTGTCGTTGGATGTATTCTGATGTCAAATTTTACATCGTCAAGACGTTTGATTCTGATGTAACGTTTGAGACTAATGTATTTTTATGTACTTGGACGTCACACTGAAGTCTGAATACATTAAGGGTACAGCAATATACGTTAAAATTTAATGTATTGAAGATGTCTGCTGATGTTTCCTACATTACAATTTCTATTCGGGAAGTTATGAAAAAGTTATCTTAAAGATAAGTTAAAGTAAAAGTTAAGTAAGAGTAAAAGTTAAGTTAGAGTAAAAGTTAAGTTTAAGTTATGTTTGTTCAAGTAAAGTTAAGTTAAAGTTATGTTCAAAGTAAAGTTATGTGAAAGCGAAGGTAAAATTAAGTTAAAGTTAGGTTAAAATTAAGTTAGAGTTATGTTTATGGTTAAGGTAAATTAAGGGTCAGTTAATGTTAGGTTAAAGTTATGTTAAATTTAAGTTAAAATTACGTTAAGGTTATGTTAAAGTTAAGTTAAAGTTATGTTAGAGTTAAAGTTAAGTTAAAGTTATGTTAAATTTAAGTTAAAATTTAAAGTTAAGTTAAAGTTAAGTAAATGTTAGGTTAAAGTTATGCTAAAATTAAGTTACAATTATATTAATTTTATGTTGAAGTTTAGTTAAAGTTAAGTTAAAGTTATGTTAAAGGTAAGTTAAAGTAATTTTCAAGTTAAAGTTATGTTAAACTTAAGTTAAAGTTATGTTATATGTAAGTTAAAGTTTTCTTAAAGTTAAAGTAATGCCAAAAAATAAATTAAATTTTTGTTAAATTTGGTTACATTTAAGTTAAAGTTTTGCTAAAATTATGTTCAAGTAAGGTTACAGTTAAGTTTTAGTTATTTTAAAGTTGAAGGTTTAAGTTATTTTTAAGTTAAAGTTAAGTTTAGGTCATTTTAAAGTTAAAGTTAAGTTTAAGTTATTTTAAAGTTTAAGTTAAGTTGTTGAAGGTAAGTTAAAGTGATGTTAAAGGTAAGTCAAAGTAATTTTAAAGTTAAAGTTATGTTAAACTTAAGTTAAAGTTGTGTTATTGGTAAGTTAAAGCTATTATAAAGTTAAAGTTATGCTAAAAATAACTTAAATTTATGTTAAATTTGGTAAAATTTATGTTAAAGTTTTGCTTAAGTTAGGTTCAAGTAAAGTTAAAGTTAACTTAAAGTTATTTTAAAGTTAAAGTTAAGTTTAATTAATGTTAAAGGTAAGTTAAAGTTATGTTAAAGTTGTGTTAAAGTTAAGTTAAAGTAATTTTATAGTTAAAGTTATGTTAAACTTAAGGTAAAGTTATGGTATAGGTAAGTTAAAATTAAGCTAAAAATAAATTAAATTTATGTTATATTTGGTTAAGTTTAAGTTAAAGTTTTGCTAATATTATGTTAAAGTTTAAGTTAACTGAAAGTTAAGTTTAAGTTAACGTTAAGTTCAATTTAATTTAAAGTTAAAGTTAAGTTTAAGTTATTTTAAAGTTAAATTTGTGTTAAAGTTAAGTTTAAGTTATTTTAAAGTTAAAGTTATGTTAAACTTAAGTTAAAGTTCTGGTATAGGTAATTTAAAGTTAAGTTAAAGTTAAATTAACGTTAAGTTAAAGTTATGTTAGAGTTAAGTTAATGTTATATTATGTTATGTTAAAGTATAAATTAACTTAAAGTTAAGTTTAAGTTAAAGTTAAAGTTAAAATCATTTTAAAATTAAAGTTATATTCAAGGTACAGTTATGGGAACGCTTAGTTAAAATTAAGTTAAAGTTATGTCAAAATTAAATTAGAGTTATGTTTCTGCTAAGTTAAGTTGAAGTTCAGTTAATGTTAGGATAAAGTTATGTTGAATTTAAGTTAAAATTACGTTAAGGTTATGTTAAAGTTATGTTAAAGATAAGTTAAGTTAATATTAGGTTATAGTTAAGTTCAAGTTATGTTAATGTTAAAGTTATTTTAAATTTAAGATAAAATTTAAAGTTAAGTTAATGTTAGGTTAAAGTTATGTTAAGTTTGAGTTAAAATTAATTTGAGGTTGTGTTAAAGTTTAGTTCAAGTTAAGTTCAAGTTATTATAAAGTTAAAGTTAAGTTAAAGATCTATTTAATTAATGTTAGGTTACAGTTAAGTTCAAGCTATGTTAATGCTAAAGTTATTTTAAAATTTAGATATAATTTAAAGTTAATTACAGTTAAGTTAATCTTAGGTTAAATTTATGGTAAATTTTAGTTAAAATTAATTTAAGGTTATATTAAAGTTTAGTTCAAGTTAGTTTAAAGTTATGTTAAAGTTAGGTTAAAGTTATTATAAAATTAAAGTTAAGTTAAAGATATGTTAAGTTAATGTTAGATTAAAGTTAAGTTAATGATATGTTAAATTTAAGTTTAAATTTATTTAAGGTTGTGTTGAAGTTAAGTTAAAATTAGGTTAAAGTAATGTTTAAGTAAACAAATAAGTTAATGTTTTGTTAAAGTTAAGTGTAAGTTAAGTTATAGTTACGTTAGAGTGAAGCTAAAATTAAAATAATTTTATAATTAAAGTAATGTTCAAGGTAAAGCTATGTGAAAGCTCAGTTAAAATTAAGTTAAAGTTATGTCAAAATTATGTGAGAGTTATATTAATGCTTAAGCTAAGTTAAAGTTAAGTTAAAGTTAAGTTAAAGTTAAGTTAAAGTTAAGTTAAATTTAAGTTAAAGTTAAGTTAAAGTTAAGTTAAAGTTAAATTAAAGTTAAGTTAAAGTTAAGTTAAAGTTAAGTTAAAGTTAAGTTAAAGTTAAGTTAAAGTTAAGTTAAAGTTAAGTTAAAGTTAAGTTAAAGTTAAGTTAAAGTTAAGTTAAAGTTAAGTTAAAGTTAAGTTAAAGTTAAGTTAAAGTTAAGTTAAAGTTAAATTAAAGTTAAGTTAAAGTTAAGTTAAAGTTAAGTTAAATTTACATTAAAGTTAAGTTAAAGTTAAGTTAAAGTGAAGTTAAAGTTAAGTTAAAGTCAAGTTAAAGTTAAATTAAAGTTAAGTTAAAGTTAAGTTAAAGTTAAGTTTAAGTTAAGTTAAAGTTAAGTTAAAGTTAAGTTAAAGTTAAGTTAAAGTTAAGTTAAAGTTAAGTTAAAGTTAAGTTAAAGTTAAGTTAAAGTTAAGTAATAGTTAAGTTATAGTTAAGTTAAAGTTAAGTTAAAGTTAAGTTAAAGTTAAGTTAAAGTTAAGTTAAAGTTAAGTTAAAGTT